GCTGCGCCTCGTGTTTTATACCCGATAAAACACTCCTGCTCGTTTATTAAACATTACTTATTCTGCCTAGTGTATCCAAACAGTTTCAGATAAACAATTGGAAGAGGTTAAGCAAAATATTGTGATTTGTTAGTGGCAAGCGAGGAATTCGGCATCGACAAACAATTGCTTGCATGCGAGGGACACTAACAAATTACGAAATTTTCGGATAACAGAGCTCAATAATTTTTTAAATTTATTTATCATTCAAATTATTTTAAACAATTTTTTAATTCTTTTTTTCTTTTTCTTTTTTTTTTTGTGCTTTGGTTGGCGAGCCATGTTGACAAAATGCAACATTACTTCGCATGAGCAGAGTATTATTTGCAGCAATAGCTGCAGGTTTTCAATCATTCAAGTGAGTGAAATAACAAAAGACACAGCGGCCATGTTGGTTGACACAAAAGAATTCAAAACAATAGGCCGTCTTCTTATGAAAAAAAACATACTTTTGTCCCCCAGAACCAAATTCTTTACCTTGGGCTACCTGTGGTTAAAATGCTGAATGAAAAAACATTTAGCTTATTGGGTTTTTTTTTCGTTTTTGTTTTTTTTTTCCCCTCATGTAAAACGATTATATTGTTCCTACCATCTAAAGCATCTGAAATACGACACACAAAAATGTCCAACTTGTCGCGCAACATTGTTGCGGTGCAAGTTCGAAAACAATGTTGCTCGTTTTACACTCTATCTATCCAACTTTTCACGCAACAAAATCTTTTGTTGCCAGTTCTGACTATCACGGTGATATTATGCACGCTGATTAGCTACACGCTACAAAATTCAAGATGGCGGCCACTTCTGAACATATAATGTTGCGTGAAAAGTTGGACGAGTGATGAAAAACGAGCAATTGAAAATGGCTCAAAAACGATCAAAACCATGGGCTATAGTCCATGCTTTTTGCCTTAAAATGGCCAAAAATGACTTATTTTGCACCCCTAAAAAATTTTCCATTTTTTTTCCAAAAGGTGTGAAAATGGCCCTTAAAACGATCAAAACCATGGGCCATAGTCCATGCTTTTTGCCCGAAAATGGCCAAAATTGATCTATTTTGCATCCTTCATAACATTTGCAAATTTTTTCAAAAAGTGTGAAAATAGCCCAAAATCCATCAAAACCATGAGCTATAGTCCATGCTTTTTGCCTGAAAATGGACAAAAATGACCTATTTCAAATCTCTCGTAAACTTTGCATATTTTTGCAAAAGGTGTAAAAATGTCCAAAAATGATCAAAACCATGGGCTATAGTCCATGCTTTTTGCCTTAAAATGGCCAGAAATGACCTGTTTTACATCTCTCGTAAATTTTACATATTTTATCAAAAGGTGTGAAAATGGCCCAAACAAAATCCATCAAAACCATGGGCTATAGTCCATGCTTTTTGACCGAAAATGGCCAAAAATGACCTATTTTGCATCCTTCATAAAATTTGCATATTTTTTCAAAAGGTGTGAAAATAGCCCAAAATCCATCAAAACCATGGGCTATAGTCCATGCTTTTTGAACGAAAATGGCCAAAAATCACCTATTTTGCATCCCTCATAAACTTTGCATATTTTTTTCAAAACGTGTGAAAATGGCCCTAAAACGATCAAAACCATGGGCTATAGTCCATCCTTTTTGCCTGAAGATGACCAAAAATGACCTATTTTGCATCCTTCATATATAATGCATATTTTTACAAAAGGTGTGAAAATGGTCCAAAATCGGTCTAAACCATGGGCTATAGTCCATGCTTTTTGCCCGAAAATGGCCAAAAATGATCTATTTTGCATCCTTCATAACATTTGCAAATTTTTTCAAAAAGTGTGAAAATAGCCCAAAATCCATCAAAACCATGAGCTATAGTCCATGCTTTTTGCCTGAAAATGGACAAAAATGACCTATTTCAAATCTCTCGTAAACTTTGCATATTTTTGCAAAAGGTGTGAAAATGTCCAAAAATGATCAAAACCATGGGCTATAGTCCATGCTTTTTGCCTGAAAATGGCCAAAAATGACCTATTTCAAATCTCTCGTAAACTTTGCATATTGATTCAAAAGGTGTGAAAATAGCCCAAAATCCATCAAAACCATGAGCTATAGTCCATGCTTTTTGACCGAAAATGGCCAAAAATCACCTATTTTGCATACCTCATAAACTTTGCATATTTTTTTCAAAACGTGTGAAAATGGCCCTAAAACGATAAAAACCATGAGCTATAGTCCAATGCTTTTTGCCTTAAAATGGCCAGAAATGACCTGTTTTACATCTCTCGTAAATTTTGCATATTTTATCAAAAGGTGTGAAAATGGCCCAAAATCCATCAAAACCATGGGCTATAGTCCATGCTTTTTGCCTTAAAATGGCCAAAAATAACCTATTTTGCATCCCTAAGAAATTTTGCATATATTTTCAAAAGGTGTGAAAATGGCACAAAGAGGATCAAAACCATGGGCTATAGTCCATGCTTTTTGCCTGAAAATGGCCAGAAATGACCTATTTTGCATTCTTCGTAAATTTTGCATATTTTTATCAAAAGGTGTGAAAATGGCCCAAAATCCATCAAAACCATGGGCTATAGTCTATGCTTTTTGGCCGAAAATGGCCAAATATGACCTATTTTGCATTCTTCGTAAATTTTGCATATTTTTACAAAAGGTGTGAAAATGTCCCAAAATCCATCAAAGCCATGGGCTATAGTCCATGCTTTTTGCCATGCATAATGCATATGTAACTGATTACACAATAAAACATCTATCGACCTTATACAAAAAGGTTCATTGCTTCATAAACATTCCAGTATCATATGCATGGTGTTACGAGAGGGATAGTTCTTGGATGCTAAAAATTTTAATTTCAGGAAGGTAACCATTTTTGAGATACTCTTTGCACTGAAGTTGTGACTCAAAATTGTTGCGTTACCAGATGCGTGATTTTGTTCCGCTATAACTAAATCTAATCATTCATATTTGCAATGAGATATAAACACAATAAACGTTGTCATCGCTAAAGGTGAAAAACAATAGACTATAGTCGAAAAGCCGAAAGGAGGAGCGATAGGTCATTTCAAGATCCAAGAAAAGCTGGATTGACTTGTGTTTCTGTTTCTTATTCTCGTCAAGAACATGGACCTTAGTGTTGAGACCGAGTGATTCCATTTTCTTTGTATTCAACGAAACCTTTTCCGTCTCGGAATGACCTATCGACTATCGCCTATTCTTCGTTTGCACGTTACGTCATCGCAGCCATGTTGGTGCCATTTAACAAAAGATTCCTCATTAGCATCCATTGTTATCGGTACCAGAATGGCCGCCATGTTTTTGTCTTTTAACTCTCTTGGGAAGCTTGCAACCCATCAATTTGGCGATGACAACGTTTTCTGAAATAGTTGTGTTTTTTTTTTTTCGCGTATTGCATGCTTATCATATCAGGTCCTGTTCGAACACCACTTTTATTATTCAGCCAAAATGTTACCAGATCGAATTGCACATGCTATAGTGGTTTAATTTTACATATTCTTAGAACAGTTTTTTACTCGGAGCGACGACGCAGGGATAAGTTTAACGGCATACGCATGCGCAGGAGATACTAAACAATCCTACGCATGCGCAGGAGATAACAAACCTCGAGAGATAAATCTGCACATACGTATTACGTTATCCTTAGGAATCAGATCAAAACTCATGTCATGTGATGGGACCCGACTTAGGAGGGAGGGGTGAGGATACCCAGACCCTCCACTTCTCTTCACCTCTGGAAGTTAAATCCCGTTTTAGTATCATCTCCAAAAATCAAAGTCCAATAAAATGGGGTCCCTATTTTGGACCATTTTTTCATCTCTTTCTTAAAATGCTTATATTCATGACTAGTGAAGAACAAGAACTAATTTGAAGAAGTTCTAAAGATCTTGAAATATTTAAGCCTTGCTCTATGCTAGGCCGATAGATTAGTCGAAAAAGGTGATAAAGTTCAAAAATCTTGGTATTTTACTTCATGCAGTGCTCTAAAAACAACAGAGTGCCCAGATTATTATTATAGCTTAAACGACAGTGATATTTTATCCTTTGAGCTTTCAATATCTCTAGAAATATTTATCTTGGGACCGTGTAAACTTGAAACGACAATGACCAGGTATTAGACAAAAACTTGACGAAATCTCGTAGAGATTGGAGAAGGAAAAGAGGCTTTTTGAACGCGCTGATTAGAGGCAGTTATCTATGTAGGTCCCGGAGTCTCCAGCCTTGTCAAACAATTTTACGGGGGAGACATTTTTTCAAAAAAAAAGCGAAATTACGGATTTGATATCAACTTCCAGTGGATACATAAAGGTTTGTAAACATTCATTAAGCTTTTAAAGCTAAAAAAAAGATATTTGTAAAATTTGTAAAAGTATCACTGTCTTTCAAGCCACAGGAAAATAGTCTAGGTAGCCTGTGTACAGACTGAATTTGAAAATCTCACGATTAGGACATAGGGCCCGCCCCAGTCTTACTCGAGTCATTTGGACGAGCTTAGTTCACGAGGTCTGGGCGTGCGAGCTGTGGGTGTTGATGTTTTTTTGGTTAATAGGTACTTATTTAGACCATATTTGGAGTGATGTGTCCATTATCATCACGTTCTACATCTCTGACTTTGGTTAGCCATTTCTCGTAAAATTCTTCATATTCTTTGATGAGCTCTTTGATGCGGATGGACTTGTCTTTGATGGCCTGTATTGTCTGATGATTGAGCATCATTTCATGACAATCGCAATTGCCTCCCCGCATTTGAGAGAGAGCCAAATATGTTCCGGGATTCTCGCTACGTTGTGCTTTAAGTTGGCCTTTAGGAGACAAAAAAATAGTGTTTTGTGAGAAAAGGATTAGACCCCTTGCATTGATTTCCTAGAGGAATTGTTCTGGGGGACAAAACAATAGCCCGTCTTTTCTTATGCAAAAACAAAATTATTATTTTGTCCCCCAGAACAATTCCTCTCGGGACTCAAGTGCAAGGGATCTATAGCAAAGACATTTTGTCAAGCTTATAAATCACTGCTTCGATCATTGATAACAGACTTATTTTCTCGGAATACTCTCGTTTCAAAGTCATAATATTTACTAATGATTAATTTAATAATTTTCTGTCTGTTTCTTATTTCTTTTCAATTCTAAAATTGGGAGCCCTGTGGCGTGTACACGGACGTACGATGGACAAACGAACGAAAGTGATGTAATCAATTTTTCTTAAGAAGTATCTTACAAATATCTTACAAATATCTTACAAATATCAAATTTTCTGTTTATTTGTTTTGGTACTCACGTGCTTTAGGCTTGCGGTAGAGTAATTCCCATAATGCACCAAAAAGAAGCAGAAATCCCACCACGCTCAGCAGCACGTGTAACACAAACTTGAAGGATGGTTCACGATAGAAAAATAGTTCACGTGAGGCTTTGACCTCTTGACTCTCTGCATCTGTTGGATTCTACAAAGACAAAAAAAGGATTTCCACAGTGAGGGGTCTTATTAATGTGAGTGTTCTCCCGCCGAATGAACCAAATCTACTTGGGCGTAACGTTTTTCAGACCACGTGTAATTCGTTAGAGCATTATTCATTTATTTAAAAATTAAAACAATATACAAAACAAGTGAAACAACACATCACGAAACAAAACAACATAACACAACACATCAAAAACAACACGACGTAACGCAAAATAGCGCAACACATGTATCAAAAACAACACAACACAACGTAACGCAACACAACACAACGTAACGCAATACAACACAACACATCAAAAACAACGCAACACAACACAACACAATACATTACAACACAACACACCAAACAGCAAAACATAATGATCAAAGCACCAGTCATATCACGTCTTTTAACGAATCTCGCATTCTGATTGGTTTTGAGTGCGTGCTTTATATTATGAGAAAACACTTTTTATTGCGTCATTCACATGCATTTTATAAAAAAATATAACAATCTTGCCTGCTGTGCTAAGTGTAGTTATTATTGAGGATTGGCAGAACTCTCGAAGAGTATTGAGAAGCTCTCCGCTATGCATCGTGCTTCTCCTAACACTTCTGTCGTGTCCTGCCAACCCCCGCGTGCTTTATAACTGCACATAGCACGGTCGCGCGTTTTTCATTTCTCCTAAAACCTTACTATGAGTGGTTGAAGGTTCTTCGCGATGATTTCAAAAACCTCTTGTGGATGGTTGCGAACGTAGGACCGGAAGCATTCGACCATCTTGCTAGAGTTATCCCTCAGCACTATACCGTAGGTGATGGGATGGTTGTAGGTGGTTTCTATTCGAACAGGATTGAACTTGATGTAATCACTGTAGTGTGTCAAGACGTAGTTATCGATCAAAGAACCGTTCAGAGTTTGATTCAGCAATGCCTTATTCATTTCTGGGATTGATTGGTAGGCTGTATGGAAAAAAATACAATATGTTTGTGTTTTTAAATGCAGTTAAATTAAATTTAGGCAAAGTTATACTCGATCTGAGTAACAGCGAATAGTTTACGCGATAACCGCTTTTGCCATTTGTTGTCTGCCCGCTGGCCATCTATATACATTAAATTCACGCTATCACAATCATACGCTTATTCTGGTGATTACGCTAGCATTATCTTCGATCATCAGCAGGGCAAAGCTATTTGATCGGTCGTTACAGCGATATCGATCAAGCGCTGCTATTGGGTCAACACGATCACATGCTAACCATGTGATCACGCTAGCTTGACCTTAAATTTGGTCAACAATCGTTTGCATTACGATATTTGCTATCGCTAGCCTCTGGCAACCACACGCTAAACGCTATATTGGTTTTTTCCCGCCCTCCCTCCCTATGGTAGGTATTTATATTATAGGTGAGTATTCCACTGACCAGACCGTCAGTGTGACATGTGCACGGTGAGTTGTGACAGGGTTGCCATGGTTACCGCGATTTTATGCGCCAGGCCCCTCTCATCCTAACTCCAAGCTCATCTACTAGTGATGAGTTTAAACAAAGGTTTAACAGAAGAAGACCTTCATATTAAACCAAATGTCTGCGTAAAGTATATTTTAGAATATAATTGCTGAACTGTTTGCATTGTTTTTTTAAAACTTTTTTTTTTTTTGCTTGTATTTGTAGTTGTTCTTGAGGATGCTTGCCTCCTTGTCTGCTTGCCTGCCTTTTTGTTATACTAAAAACTTACGAATCATATCTGCATTCAAGCTCACTCCAAGACGTTGTTCCTCGCTTCCCGAAACAGCCCCAACCTAAAGAAAAAAAGCCTTATTTGACGAGTTTTTTTCCAACATAAACTAGAGATAATCATTTGCGCATGCGTGCGTTTCAGCAACTTTGACAAGAGCTCGTGACTGACATTTGTGTACAAAAAATTTCGCTCTTTTCTCCGAATTTATAAATTAACGAAGATGATATAAAAGAATTAGCTTTGATGTTAAGTTTGGGGAGTTTATAAAGTCCATATATTAGCATTATTGTAAGACGGTTTCTACTTGTGTCAGGACAAATAGCGTACCTTGGATCCATGGACAGTAAAATGATGTTGAATACTGGCAGACAGCGAGGCTGTTATGATAGCAGTGAATATGGCGATGATGATGATACCAACTAAAATCCATACTATACAAAACACGCGAGCCAGCAGTGACTTGGGTGCACGGTCTCCATACCTGTAGAAATATATTTAAGAATCCATAAATATAGAGCTTACGTGGATCTTAGTTGGCTGTAGTCTAGTTGAGCTGGCTCACTTCTTACGCGACGTGAAGTTGTGAAAGGCCCATTGGCCCTCTTCAATCGTTTCATGCAAGGCTCGTAACTTACCTATTACGCATGTTCTTATATGATTTACGAGCCTATCCCACACGGCTTACCGCCTCATCTCTTTAGTTGGCTGTAGGCTTAGTTGGTTATTGCGCTGCCGGGAAACAGGTTGAAACGAATGGGAGACTAGGTAATAATCTGCAGCTATGAGCCTGAGCAATGAATCTGAGTTCAGTGTGAGAGATGATGAGCAATAGCTGCAAAGTTTTTGAGCAATAGCCTAAATATTTTCAAATAAAAAAAAGAAAAAGAAAACAAAAAAAACAAAAACAAAAATAAATAAATAAACAATAATAATAATAATAATAATAATAAAAAACAGGTCCCCATGTATCTCTGCACATTATTTTATCTATATTGTTGTGTTTTCTGTTAATATGTTATTAACCATTCTGTGGTTAAAGTGCATCCAACCTCTGATACAATACTTTCAGTATTGATTCTACATAAAGTGAATAGTTGAATGGTGAAATATTTCTTCATTTGAATGTTGTGTCTTTAAGTTATGAAGGTTTATACTTCCAATATTATGCTGACTGTGGCGTCACCCCAGGTTTCATTAAATATACGAGTTTTGACTGGTTCATACAAACAGTTTTTAAAAAGAATCATTATTCAAGGTTTCAACAATGTTTGTTGTGAACCTGATGTCTCATAATGTCTAGTGTTTAGTATAAACCTTCCGCATAGCTTAAAGATGTAACATTCAAATGAAGAAATATTTCACCATTCAACACTTCACTTTATGTAGAATCAATATTGAAAGTATTGCGTGTCTACCGACTTGCATTACTCAGTCCCCTTCGACAAATAAGTTCCCAGTCGGTTTCTGCCAACGAAATACGTACCCTACAGTCGTCATGGTGACAAAGGCCCACCAGAATCCTTCCCACGTGCCGCTGATAAATGGAGGCGGGAACTCGTCTGGGTTTTTAAGTCGGTCCTAGAAGATTTATACAACGTAAATTAGATGGCTTAGCTTTATTCCTTTTGATGTTTAATGATCAATCGCCGAGCGGAAAATTTTGGCTATTGAAAAATGGTACACGCGTCTACCAAAAGACCCGAAAAGAGCGGGAAAAGTGAATTACAGATAAGTGGACAGACTGACGCAATGCGTAACCTAAGGACAGACAGACAGATCGACAGACAGACGGATTAATGAGTTAACACAGAGAAGGAATGAGACAGATAAATGGACTGAAAGACAGATTAAGAAACAGATAACAAACAGACAGACATTAGATTGTCAGACAAATACGTTGAAAAAGAGACGAATCAGTGAGACAGATAAATAGACAGACAGACAAAAATCCAGTATCAGTAATTCATTAAAACATATCAAAGACTCACCAAAGCCCAGATGATCATACCAGAAAGAGTTGCTGCCACGATAATAAACACAAGAATTGGCCAAGCCTTAGTGACAGTCATCAACAACTGCGACGTCTGATCCGTCATATCCTTATCAAGTACAAGTAGTGCCACTCTAGGGGCTTGTACAACAGGGATAAACTGTAGATCCTTAAAAGTCTTATCATCCTCGCTAATTCCAGTTATAGGGAAAGTGAGATCATAGGCTGCCTGAGGGTCATCCAGCTGTCCCTCTAATTTTCTAATCGACTTGATAATTTTTCCATAGGACACGACCGTCGACATGTTGCAGCAGAAATTAAGCATTTTGTTAATGAGATGTGGGAAAATCCCTTCCACTCCTAACTTTGAGTTCATCTTTGTTGAAGACTTAGCATAAGGGCCGTAATATTGCCAAGAAGCAGAGATAGGCAGCCCACCATCGCATTTTTCATCTAGGGTAGATTTTGATAACTCTTCCATCTTCAATTCCTTTCCTCTTGCGATTGTGGTTGTGTTATCAGAAGAAAAAGTTCCGTTCTCAGCAAAGACGTTCTCGGAAAGAAAATAAAACCCTTCTGAGATCTCAGGCGAAGTGGATTCTGGTTTGTGGGTTTTGGATTTGAATGTGATTGTAGTACATCCAGTAAAGTATAAAAAAAGCATCGCTAGTATTGCAGTGGTTGATACACAAGCCATATCGTTGGACTGTACTCGATCACCTGTTTGAAAGAAACGCAGTTGGTAAGATGAAATACAACGATATCGCTGGATTATGCGAAGTACACCAAACGGCTTATCCCAACCAAGACCCCTTGAAACGTGACCTCTGATAGTTTGATCTCCTCATGATCTCGACAAGCTACTTTCCCAATGAACACATTTTTAATTTCAGCTAGGCCAGAATACTGAAAATCCCAATCCGATATTACTAGCAGCTTGGTAAATCGAAAGAAATACTTGCCTTAAAATGTTACGCCTGTTGAATTCTGCTATTCTGCAGCTTATTGCATGGGTTGTGTAAATAGTTGGCCGCTAAGCTTAATCTCTTAAGAAATCTCAAAACCACAAAGTTTTGCTCACGAATTCTGTTCTACCACCAGCAGACAGTAAACATATAAAGTGCTTTTCTGTAGATATGCTTTGTTGAAGACGATCGAAATCATTTGTAGAAGAAAATGTTTTTTAGTTAAAGCAAGTAATTTGAAAAAAAATTTCCAAACCGCAAAACTAGCCTTTGATAAGGCAAATAAAAGTGAATTGAATTGGTCATAATCTTGCATCTGCGCCTTAATTTATATCAGGCGTAATAGACTGATTACAAATAAAAGGTAAAATTTGATCGCGGTACTTATCGAATCGTGTGTTCGGCTTCAAAAATCTAAATTTAGATGTGCATGAGAGGGAGAAGGAACGAATAAGAAATAACGCCAACATAGGAATAATTGAGGTAAATTTTCAACTAATTAAATAATAAACGTTTTTCTGGACTATTTTTTTTTCTCCAGAATTTGGTATTATATCATAAGTGTCTAATGACCAAAACTAATGTAGTCTCTTAACCACAATCGTTTGATGAAGTTGAGGTTTTAAGAGAAATATTTTTTAATGTTTCTTAATGTCAAAGTGTCGCAGACTAACTAATGTGAACTCGATTCTTATTTTTTCCCCAAGGCTAGAATTTTAGATTAGCTTATTTTTGAACTGGAAATTAAGATCGCTTATCGAGCTATTTTGGCTAGCTTCTTAGTGGTGAACCCCGTTGAGAGTAAAATCGCAGTATGGGGTTCACAGTTTTTTAGTTTTAAGCTGCGCCCTGTTGCTTTGTTTTACAAATTTGGTCTTACCCTGGGAAGTCGACAACGTATTTCCACAATATTTCTAACAGCATTCAYATCACCCGCAATATATTACGATGCTGACTTAATAAAAAGCTTCTACAAAATTCCTAATTAAAATATAGTCAATAATATTCCGTCTTCTAATTACTTTAATAAATTTGTTGTTCTAGCGAACGCTGCTGCTTTGGTCTGAATTTACGTTTTATAGCTCCTAAAAGTTTTTTTAACCGGTGGAGATCAATTTTTGGTTGTTTTTGTCGAGTTTGCAATGTTAGATTACCTGCGAAAAAGGTCATTTATATTGTGTAAGGATGAACAAACGTACGATAGTGAACTTAAGTAATTCTCATAGAAGCCAATTACGTATAATTTTGAATTAACACAAGTTTTTTTTTTTCGAGGAAACCATCTTTATATATTAATGGGCTCACAATTTTTAAAACGTATTTTGTCGTTTTTAAGTTATATATTGTTTTAATTTCAAAGATCCCCCCCCCC